ATTAAAAATAATGAAGCAACTCCTTTTCTGATATATTCTGAGAATAAATAGAATTTATAAACTAGTAATGTGAAATCCATGCAGAAGTAGAATAGCAATACAAAGAGCAAAAATAAGCAATGATAATAAAAAGGGGTTGTCTGTAGCAACTTGTGAATAAGTGTGCATAGTGGATTTTTTTCTTCTCCACTGTTTGCACTCTGTGTATTTATTTCATGTTGATACTGAAATGCTAAATATTTTTTTTCCAAAGGACTGAGAATCAAATCCATAAGATGTGCAGGTATCTAAGTCACATGGACATCAAGAGGACCTTGTAAAAAAAGCCTTCATGTATGTTGGCCTACAGGCCCACAGTTTGTATCTCGGCGCATCTCTCACATTTGAGCTGCTGTACTACTGCAGCACGGGGAAAGGTACCACAGATTCCCCCTTTGCCTGAGTATTAGTGATCGTACAGAAGAGTCAGTGTGGCTTAGATTCAAATCTGTGTAAAGTACCTTAATTTTTAAACTCCGATCACACAAGCTCATGCAGTTACACTGGTCAATATCTTCCTCCCTGCGTTTTTATTCAAATGAGGCGTTTGGTAGAAATTCAGTGTTACAAACATGTATATGTGATTTCTCAGAACTTCATACAATTTTCTCAGAAACCTTGCAATATAACATCGTTCTTTTTAGCAGTTTTCTTGTACTATGCAATATCAGATGGCACTTGTCAGTCTTTTTTATTTTCCCTCAAATATTATACTTTCTAAAAATGTTTTCTTTTTCCTTTTATGGCTAGCACCTGTGGGACTTTCATGTACACCAGCAGTGAACAGGAACCTCAAGAAGCGTAAGCCAAGAAGCAACAATTTCCGATTGCAGTCCTGATGTAACGATCCTTTCTATATTACATGTAGAACATACATGGGTCTTCATCATGATGCAAAGTCCCTATCAACTAGAGTCTGGGGAAGATGTATAATTAGAGATAATGTTCAAGATAACTTACAGAAACTTCAGGATGTTGTACAATGTATACAAGTTATCACCGGTTTAATCTTCGTAGCCCTTGCCTGTAAAGTCAAAGCATTTAGGCTCATTTACACCAACCGTTCACATTTCAGTGTCTGAGACATTCAAAACAGCTCTTGCCATAGCCTAGAATATCTTCTGCTTCTTTATTTTTTTCTGCACAGTCACCTTGTAGTCTTAAAGTCTGGTGCCTTGGGACCTCATAAAGCTCAGAGTGAGTGCTGTGTGAGAGCACGCTACTTTTCTCCAACAGCACAATGTTCCTGTTTCTACTCCTGAGGAGGGGAGGTCTGTGATATGTCTGATGCTCGTCTTTCCTCTCTTCTGTGGGTCAGCCGGTAGGAGCTGTCTGTGTTTGACATTTGGTATGAAGGTACAAACCATTTGCCTGTCTGGCTGCAGCTTTTAAAATAGCTGTGGGAAGCTGCTCCCTAGAGCTTTGGAATATTATGCCTATTGCTAAAGAAGGTGGAGTAGTGGGAGGAGAAATATACTGCGGGCAATAAACTCTAATAATTGTGATGTATTTCATGACTGCTACCATTGCATTTATGAAATGTATATGTCTAGAGTCTGTGCGTGCATGCAGAAACGTCTTTGTGTCTTTTTGTTGCTATATTTCTGTAGTACTCACAACTAGCAGTGAGCAGGCTATCTAGTCTGAAATGATGTGTGTTTTTTCCTTTAAAAGCTAGAAATTTCACTTAGTTTCTCAAGAAACTGTGCTGCTGATGGTGGGTCAGGAGAAGAGTGAGTCAGTAAGTCACTGTAACTCAGTAAGTCACTGTAACTCAGTTGTGTTTAACCATATGCCCAAAACCAGGTGTCCCTGCTCCACACCTGCCTGATTCCAGCCTACTGAAGGAGGCAGTAGCGGTGAAAGGACAGAAGGCACGCTCGGATCTCTCTGCATACAGAATTGATGGCTCCAACAATTTTGGAGTTGTTGATGTTCACATTTCTGTGTGCCATATCTTATTGATGTACCCCAGTAAAGGTAAATACTATCAGTTCAGAATTTTCCTCTCCCAGTCCTAACAAAGCTTTTTGTTTACTCTATATAACTTCGAAGTATTTCACAAATGCCTTTTGCTTCTTGCATCATTAATAGCTCCTCTGTCATTTTGCATTTGTGCCAGCCAGGTACTGAACACTAGCTCTGTGATTTGGCAGCACTTTCCCAAGATGTCAGTGAATGCACCGGGTTCTCATACCTGAAGAATTAAGCCTCCATGGTAGACTCCAGAGAATCAATCAGTCTTAGCCTCCCATAAATGAGATGTAGGCCTCAGGCTCACCGTTGTGTGGCTGAAGTTTGAAAAATCATTTCACATCTGCTGGGCTGCTGTAACTATGCTCACACAGGCACACAGAAAACGCAAGGCAATGTGACTTAGCTTACATCTCCTCCAGGCTGAACTAAAATCACCTCATCTTTGCTCAGATAGGAGCTCACACGCCATCACTTGCTGTAAGGTCACTGAATGAGCAGTGACATGGGAATCAATTCAGACTTAATCAGGAGTATGAGCCCTTAATTGTTTGTGATCAAGAATGACTCTAGCAGCATTTTGCAAGAGCAGGGAGGTTTGTACTGGAGTCCTATGGGTGGGATGTGTGTAGCTACTTTCTTGTTAAATCTCTTTTGCATTATCAGCTGAGTATAGTTTTCTTTTTTATGCCCATTCCAAGCTTTTGGGTAAAGTTCCTGTGTAATGATAAACAGCTGCATTGTTGCATTCAAGTGATGGATGGAGTTATGCCTGCTGATAGGCAATTTCTTAAACACTTCGGCATCTTAATGAATGAAAGATGCTCTCCACTGAACGTTAAGTCACTTAGATCAGTTCGGAACTGAACACTGAAATCCAGGAGCCCAAGTGCTGAGCCAGTGAAGTATTTGGGGTGGGAAGGAGGAATTCTAGGCAGCAGTTATGTTTCAGAAATGTGTAGTACCTGTAGAGAGGCAGCGCAGAGTGTAGAGTGGAGTAGCTCTTGGAAAACACAGCCTGTGATTTCTTCCAGACAATCTGACGCCCATGAATGAAAGGAAAGGTTTCCATTGGTCGTGTCTCCCTACATTTAACCCTGCATGGCCTAAGTCAGCTAGCAGTGTTAGTAATTCCTATTTTATGGATTTCTGAGGAGGAACAGCCTGACTGTGACTTCTGCTGAGTGGCTGCTGCAGAGCAGGGGAGTGCTACACTGATGCTGCCCTCTTGTCGGATTGTTGCACCCTTTATCCTACCTTCTTTCTAAGATTAGAAATAAATAATTCTTAAAGCTAGGGACTGAGTTAAAATCCTTATGGACCAAATGCACTAAATCCTTAGTTATCTGTACAATAGCCCCTGAAATAAATGTTTGTGGTTGAAGACAGGTTGTTCCCACAGATGTGACACTGTGTCCAGCCTCAGTCCCAGGAAGAAAGGTTGAGCAGAGCCTGTTCAGCTGTGGCAAGTGGTTGAGGTTCTTCCACAGATCTCACCCTTCAGCATATAACTCTGAAACATAGGTTTCGGCTGTGTGGGTTTTAATAGAAAAAATACCCCAAACACACATCTTCTTCCTGTGCCTGGGGCCACCCTTATGCTTGCGTAGAGGGGACCCCCTCTGTTTTGACCATATTAACAGAGGTGCATAAAAGCAAAAGCAGAAAGAGCACTTTTACACTGCATTCATCAACACATGAAAAAAACAATCTACCAGGACCAGTTGTGGGCTTGTTCCATTACATGTCACAAAACAATTGTCTCTGTGCATGCCGGTGCTTTTAAAGCTGACACTGATGTTGACTTAAAAGCTGTTTGCGTTACATCTGTCCATTAAGTATAGATTTCCACATGTGCTGCACCAAGGTGAGCAAATCAAACGTACACTTACACCACAACCAGAAAACTGCTGTAGTGAACACATCCGCCTGAAATTCTCACATCCCTGCCCACGTCTGATTATTGTGTTTTGTATTTAAAATATTGATATAAGTTCATCAGCTTTTCTATGAACGTGATCACAATGGTTTGTGTTGGTCTGGTACCGACAAATTACTGCTGTACAAGGAGTGGAGGAGTCTTCCCAGACTGGGGAACGCTGAGCCCTGCTTAAAGCACTAATCTGATACTCAGTAGCTCAGTTCCTTGTTCTAGCAAAGGCTTGCAAAGTGGCTTTGGCTCAGTTTGGATGTATTGGATATGTACGGATATATTCGGACTATCTGCTTTAGCACCAGAGTTAGATATAGATGCTTTCTAATCCAAGCTCAGAAGAGACCTGGTGGCCATATTCAGGCTGCCCTTTTATACATGCTGGTATTGCTATCACAGCTACTTACTAGCTGGTATAACGATGGCCCGAATAACTGTCCAGTGAGCATCTAAGTTACTGTCAAAGTCCATGTGCCATGCAAGGTGGTCTGAATACAGCCCTTTGTCTCAGCTCCCTCACCTGTAATGCAGGGACAGTGACATACCTCAGCAAGGCTGCAGAGATGTTCAGATCCAAGTGAAGAGGACAACATGGCTACTTTTATAGGCAAATATGTACTGTGCTGAAACAACGTAGGGGGACCTGGTTTTAGAGAAGTTTGCTGTCTGCAAGAGCTTACTCCAGACAGAATATTCAACGGTTAAAAAAGGGATGCAGAAGTTAGCCAGAGTGCACCCTGGCATCTGTAGCAGCAATTTTACATGCCGTATTCCAGCTCAGCTATTTCCAGATGGTACTGTATTTTACAATTTCCTCTTGCAGTTGACTGCTATCAAACATATATATAGTACAGCAAAGATGTACACAAGAGTGAATTATTGCCTCTTCTTTGTTGTA